CAGCGTGATCTCATGGTTTTCAATGCCATCTTTATGCTAATTAATCTGATGCTGTATTGCCAGTCAAGAGAGTCCTCCTCTGAGCTCCAGACTCTCCTTATCAAGTCCTCACTGGGCATTTTCACCTGGACATGTCACGTGTTTCTTGAACTGAAAATATCCATGGCAGAAGTCAAATTTCTCACCAAGCCTCCTCCCTGCCCTGTGTCTTCCATCATCCATGTGCACATCCAACCGACAAGCCCCAGATCCGCCCTTGATTCCCTTCTCCCTCTAGCTCATCGGCAAATTCTGCAGTCTCTCTCCTAAATATGCTTAGAAGGAACCTATTGGCCCCACATCCAAGACCCGCCTGGGTCTAGTCTGCCACCCCCAACAACGTGACCTCCACAGCAGCCCCCGACCCACTCTGGCCCAGTGGTCATTGATTCTCCCCAGAGCAGCCTGAGGGATCGTTTAAAATGTCAATCAGATTATATCACTTCCCCTACTTAAAAGCCTCTAAAGGCTTCCCAATCCTATCTAGAATAAAACCCATCCTCTCACTATGGCCGTAGGCCTTTGTGATCGGGCCATTCCCGTCTCTCCCTCCTTCTCCCCTGTCACTGTCCCCGCCACTTGCTACCCCCTAGCCACACTGCCCTGTGACTCCTTACACTGCCCCGTCTCTACCTGCTTCTGGCTTTCTGCACTCCGTGTGCGTGTGCTTGCCAGAGAGAGGGTGAGAGAGAAGGTGCTCTTACCCCACCCTTTCTCACCAGCTCCTTCCCGTTGTCTAGATTTCAGAGGAGATGTCCCTACCTTCCCTAACTACCTTAGGAAAGTAGGAAATTGTCCTTGTTTGTTTCCTTAATAGTGGGCGTTGAACCTTGGTAATCATATTTATTTGTTCACTTGTGTTTTGTTTGACTCATTCATTAACTATAAGCCCCATGAGCTTAGGAGTTGGGGGCAAGATGGCGGTGCCATCTTCAGAAAATGTGGCCTTCTCCTAGGCTGACCTGATGGAAGAGTTCTGGATTCAAGCCCCAATACTTCCGAGTACACTGGACACACGTATGTCTGAGCCCTCGGGCTGCGAAGTTGGGGGTGATCACAGCATCAGAACCCCGTTGGGGGTGCTGTCTCTCTGTCTCTTGTTCATAAAAATGAAAACTAAAATAAATGAAAGAAGCCCAGGGTGGCATTTCACAGCCCCGTGTGTGGTGCCAGCTCACTGAAGGCACTGGGATGAGCTTTGGGGGTGAGTGAAGGGACGAACAAGTGCATTAGGCACCTCGCGGGTATCAGGCGCTTCTCCGTATCCCAGATGAGTACGTTCTCCCAGCCACTCTTCGAGGCTGTCACGCTGGACTACATTTCCCAACTTCCCTTGCCATGAAATGTTCCGGCCAACGCATGTGGGAGAAGTGAAGGAAGCCACTTCCAGCTTTGGCTCATAAAAGCCTCATGTGTGATTCCCACCTGCTCCTGCGTCTACCAGCTGGATGCGGAAGATCCGCAGTGGATTCTGAGGACCTGGATGACGAGAGAGTCACAAGATGGGAGGAGCCTGGGTCCCTACGGACCAGCAGGAGCAGAGTCCCGCCACCCCTCTTGCGCCTCTGGACTTTGCATAAGCAGGGCACGGGGCTAGGCCGTGTGGAGCATTGTCACTCCCAGGCTCACTTGTTACAGTGGCATGCCTCACCTTAATTAGGACATCAGAACACACCCGTAGGTGGCTGGTGAACAACACCGTGGGCGACACTTGTGCTGATGAATTTTCATCAAGTGCTGATGTGTTCGCTGCGGGGCTGTTTCTTGAGTGTCCTGCCACGCAGCCGCAGCCGGGGGACTGGTGCTCACACCTCTATTACAGCACGTCGCGCTGCATGGTGGAGTGTGCTGCTTTATCTCACTAGGCCGTGAGCCATCCGAAGTGCCAGTGCCATGTTCATCTCTGCCCTCAGTATCGAGCCCCCAGGAGGCCTCAGGGAAAAGTTCGTTGATGCCACAAATGGGCTAACTGCTCACCTGCTCCCCCAACTGCTTCTCTATCCCTGAAAGTGGCTGAAAAAAGCCAAGTCTAATTTGACAGAGGCTCACAGAGAAGGAATGACTCCCCCAGGTCACACAGAAGCAGCAGAAGCGGCCTGACGCTGGTTTTTCAGAAGTGAACCCTGGAGCCTTCCGGGGCTGGAGAA